TGTGTGTGTGTGTGTGTGTGTGTGTGTGTGTGTGTGTGTGTGTTGAATTCAGAAAAGATTTCTTAAGTAAAAATTACCGTTAAAAGGAAAACAAAAGTAGAAACTTGGAAGTTTCTGTTTAAGCAGCGCTGATCATTCGTGTAAGAAGGGTTAACATGGCAATCTTCCGGGTCGTGGTTAACCCATGGTTAAGGGTTAACATAACAGTAACTACTGGCCCTGGGTGATCAACACCTTTTAACTCAGAAAGCTTGGTGTGGTGTCATTTGAATCAGAAATAATCACTCCTAAAGCAACTCTTGGCCTGAACATGAGGAAGAAATGAGGTGGGATATGGAGTCTTGGAAACTAGCTGTTGGTAAATCCCAAGACCATTGGTTATTCAGTCAACCATCTTATCCTCTTCCAAAACACCCAAAAGACTATTCATCCCCATGCAGTCCTTGACACTGAAAATCACAACTAACAGTACCAAGCTTCCAGCTAGCTCCCACTCTTTCACTTAATATTCCTTTTTTTGCCTGCTTTGTGCACTAGGCTGACATTTCTCTTTGTTCTTATGGGCATGTATCTAGCTCCCTCCCACAGATCTCTTGCCTGGCAAGCACAGTGTAGACTCTCCACATGATTCTTCCCCCACAGAGCATACAGTGTGTGCTGTGCTGTGGGTGGCAAAGGAGGAAAGAGCAGCCATGGCAGCCCTAGAAATATCAGTCTCACGGGTGTAATTATACAGGGCCTCAGAACTCCTAACAAGTCTTAAGCAGAATGAATGTCTCAGTGTAGGGACATGGGCAGCCTTGCTCTAGTGCATACAGGCTGAAGCAGGAGCTACGTGGGAGGTATGGTGAGCATTACACCTTTTGCACACTGGGAGTTTTGTGGAAATATGAGCCAGCAGCTATGATAGAAAAGAGAACTTTCTACCACGAGAGACAATTCATTTTCCAAAATTCTAAATTACATTTCATTTCATGATAAGTGTGACAAAATTATAAAGCATTCAGTGTTTGTATTTTCTTTCTTTTATTGATATGCCATGTATTATGTTACATATATTAAGCTATGTTGTCTTACATTTTAAAATTTTCATAATTTTTATTCATCTTAATAATCTGGTTAGTCCTCTGATTGAATATGGCAGACATTTCCCTCAAAGGAAAAAAGGTTATGGTCAATGGAGAAGAACGAATCAAACAGCCATTATTCCATGGAAGATGTTCTTATGGCTACAGAGCTTCACAGAGGGAAATCAAAGAGTCTCCATTGGTTCTCCCCCACTTCTCATCAAAGCCTTCATAGGGATCTTTTTTTCTTCATCCACTGTGAAATACCATAAAACCTGAAGTTTTCTGCATTTACATCTATTTTAAGCATATGTAATGGACAAAACACAGTTTCCCAAAGTTAAAAATATCTGAAAAATGATTAGTGTTTATCATAGATGTACATCTTGCAAGAACCTCCTGATTTGAGTTCTGTGCACTATGGACTAGAATATGAGACTTGCTCAGATTTTCTTGGCCAGTTCTGCTCTGGACAACATGATACTGATATCCAGTTTATGTGATGTCAAAGTCAATCATTTCTCCAGAAGAAATACATGGAAGTCAAGTTCAGCAATACTGTTTTATACATTCTATTATATAAAACAAAGTGTTTTTCCAGATCTTTAAAAATGCAGACTGTTTAAATCTACAAAGAAATCCAATATGAAGACTTAATACTATAAACTGAGTCTGGGTTTGTGATTTTTCCTATAGTTGCCACTCAACTGCCAGATGCCTTGCCTAAAACCACCGTGTTACCCTCAGCATCACTAACAACTGCAAAAACCATCTCACAGCTGCAAGGTATGATTTTTCATGTACCTGAAGAGAAACTTATTCTATTTTACTGTTCTTTATGAAATGAACACTATCCATTTTGATTTTCAAAACAAAGCTCTTGCATGGTGAGGGAAAATCTTGCATTTGTAACATCATAACTATAAATCATGGGTATTTCCTTAAATGGGAGTAGAGGGAAGGTTATATGGATTAACATATTTATCAAAGGTGGCTTTTTTGTTTTCTCTCTCAAAATAACAGACACTGAAGATGGGAAGATCACAGCCACTCCATCAACCACCCCCTCTTACTCCAGTGAGTAACATATAAATCTCCATTCATGGAAATAGACTTGCAGAATATGCAAATAAGAACAATGAAAGGGCGGGGTTAAAAATCCCCCATACATCTGATTGGAATTACTACACCATGGCCATTTTCTTCCTTTCTTTTCTTTTTGTTTTTCTTTTTCACTCTTGTCCTAGTGGTAAGCAATTACCAAAAATGACAAATAATGACTTGGTGTAACTGTATTCAGCTACAAATCACAATACTAATACATTTTATCCAAATCATCATGCCACATCAACATATCCATCTTCATTTGTCAATTGAACATTCTTAAAGTTATTAAATTATAAAAAACAATTATTTTTTTCACCTTGATGAAATTTTATAATATAGATGGCAGTTAATTTTATTTTAACTTGAACATATATAAGCAATATAAGACCTTAGAGGTGTGTTAAGTCTGAAAAAATAAGTAACAGTTCAGCTGTTCCCTAAGCAATTAACAGTAAGATGAATGTATTTGAAGCTGGAATTATAAATGATTATCTTTGGTTTCAGTAAAACCGTTTCATTAAAAAGGTATCACAGAAGGAATTGACATATTGATTCATGGTATTTCCATTTTGAGGAGGAAATAACATCAATTCAAGATCTATTTTAAAGTGTGCTTTAACATTGCCTCCTGATAGTGGAATGTAAGCTACCCTACTGATGAATTAAAATATTATTGCCCCTTGATAAATAGGCAAGAAGCATAGAAGTGAGGAGACAGAATACCTAACTCTGCCTCTCACTGCAAATTTGCTTTAATCACTAAACTTTACCCCTGAAATGACTCACTGAAAACTCAAAAACCCTCTTGTTAACCCAAACAGGGAAGCCTTCCTCTGATTTACAACAGCAACACACCCTTTGAAAACACATGCCCAAGTGTGCATACCTACCTATTGGAGCTATGTTATTAGACGTTCTAAATTGCTATCCAATCAATCTACTTAGGTTCTTCTACATATTTTCTAGTTTTAAGGTAACATGTTGCAAAGATACAAGTTTCAGCCTTAAGTTTAGAACCACTCAAGTCAGCTGCATTTTTAAGTAACTTAATAATAAAATACAAAAACATATAATGATTGAGTGCAGTTTTAACTCTAATCTAGAGAACTGTTGCCTCTAGTCTCTCTCCTTATGCCCCCAGCCTCCAGGAAGATGGGAAGCCATCTCCTTGAGGTTTGGAAGTTTAAGAAAGGCTACAAGAGTGACATCAAGTGGATATGTCAGAAATGACAAGCAGAGCAAATCTGTAAATCAGATTAATTATTGCCTGGAATATAATAGTGTTTTGATAGAATGTTGTTTAAAGAAGGAAGCGTGCATGTTTTGTCCATTGTGGTCTATTTGTATGGAATTAGCATCACTCCAGCTGACAATGTCTCCAATAATTTCAGGTATTATTTTGCCCGTGGTTATTGCGCTGATTGTTATAACACTCTTGGTATTTACTCTGGTGGGTTTATATCGAATGTGCTGGAAGAGAGACCCAGGTAAGTAATGACCTTTTGTTTTGTTTCATATTGTTTTCCCAGAAGTAGAATGGGGGTTCGCTTAGTGCAACCTTGAATTTAAAACTGTCAAAGGGAGAAGAGTTTTGGTGACAATACCATGTCACCCGATCACAAAGAACAGGGGGAAGAGGTGCGGAAATTCTCTGCATGCTATTCAAAGTAAGGAGTGATGATTCAGATCTATTTAGAGTAAATATAGATCATTTCTTGCTAATGAAATAGCCTCAACTGTGAGGACAGTCACAGATGTATGCTCCAAAGACAGTATGCAATAGGATGTGTGGCCTGGGGCAGAGAATAAGCAGAGGAGTGTGGAAATTTACTTCAGAAGTCCATAATCTTAAGAATCACACTCTGGGACCTATGTCCCTTCTTGGAGCCTCAACTTCTTTCCAAAATAGATATCTTCTGAGGTGGTGTTATGCAGTTTATCCTTTCTTTAAATAAACCTATTGTAGAGTAGACTAATATTTTAGAGTAGATGAGTTATAAGGATGATACAGTCCCTCATATTCCTCATCTAGAGTCCACCATTGTCATCCTCAATTCTCTGTCATCATTATCATCTTAGTGTAGAACAGTACAGTTGTCTCAACTAATGAGCTGGTGTTAATGAATTATTCTAAACAAAACCCTCTATGTTATTCATATTCCTTCCTTCTATATTTAGTTGTTCTCCTAGTCCAAGGGTGGTGCTGTCTGTTGAGTTGGTGCTCTGCCTGTACTTCCCTTGGCTCACTTAGCTCAGCTATTCCCTCTACCACATGGACTCCAGTTCATTAGGAGTTCCAGTCCTCTGCCCTGCATGTGCTATGATGTTCAGGTTTTCATACATTTATCCATAATTACCATTTTCCTGGAACATCAAGCCTACCCACCACTTGGCTTCTAGAACACACTTACAACTTACCCTAAAGGATACCACCAACAATAATCTATTCTACCTTTTGGTAACATACCACTTTATTAAGCAGAACAGATTATACCATTAATTTTTGCTCTACAAAACTGGTTAACAGCTTCATGGTATTATAGGTTTTTACTTTTCTCTGTGTCTGCATTGCCTGTGAGCCCAGCTGCAATTGTCCTACCATAAACCGTATACAGCTCACCTTGCATTATGCCTGATATTTGGCAGTAGACTTTCATTCTCTGCTTGTTGAGTTAAAATTTTTAAATGGCCAGTGAAATAGATCTTCCCTTTATTTTCATCTTAACTATTTCACTAACAAAATTCTATCTAAGCCTCTTAAACTATTAAGAAGGTAAAAGGTGCTTATTTTTATATGGCTTATAAACTGCACAGTTACTTTCTTACCCCAGGACACTAATGACGGTGGGTTAGGCCAGCCACTGACTGTGCATCTCACAGACAGTTGGAGCAGATCATGACAGCAAAAGGAGAAGTTAGCAGACCAAAACAGTGGCATTCATTTGAGTTCTGGGTGGAAAAGAAGAAGAAAAAAAAACAAAAGAAAAAGAAAACAATGTGCTTTGCTGTAGGAGTGAGGAAATAAATCTCATAATGTCTGAAAGTTACTTTCTTATCCCATTTCCAAAGAGGAAATAGTACTTGCATAAACCAGACCCTCCCGGCACCCGGTTTTAAGCCACCAATCTTATTTCTATGGGAATATAGCCATTACAGTATCACAGTTGAAGCCTGTGGGTGTTGAGTCTATGAGATGGATAAAAACTAATATGTTAAATCTACTTATAAAAATACTGTGTACTGAAAAAGAATTGTTTAACTGGAAAACTTTGAAAATGCATGAGGTTAAGAGTGACATTTTCTATTAAAGCTGACTTTAAATGAATAAATCCTTACCACTCTGAAGAGTTATTGTGGAGATGCATGGTGCTCTAAAGCCAAGTGTGGAAATTATGTAATCAGCCAGATCTATTTGGTTACTGTTAGCTTTGTTTCCACACAGAGTTTCCAACATTGTTATCTTTAAATTAGCACCATTAAACACCTGCAGTTAATTACTCTTTAAGTACATGGGGGAGACTTCATTACATTCAGAAAATTAATAAGCCCATTCCGCTCTCTGGAAGACAACGTGAATCAGAAGTTGGAAATTAAGCTTACCTGAATAATGTTTGCCATAGATTGAGCTTTTAACATAAGCATGGTACATATGCAGAAAGTTTCTCGGTTGGCATCTATCTGCTAATTAACCCACTGTTACCATAATCTAAGTAAAATGCTAAAACAGGCAATCAAATACCAGCTCACTCTGAAGGGGACTATGAACATCACAGGTAATACTGCATTTGGCACTTATGGTAATAAAAACATACTGCTAGACCCTGCTGATGGGGAAAGACATGGTTAGACATCATTAGTGAGCTACATCGGGGTATGATGAGTTAATCTTAGGTAGTTAGAGTTCTAGTTGGATGTCTTGGGTTGGGCAAAAGAAATAGAAGCAGTTATTCAAGATTTTTATGAAAATAATAACACTCAAAGGCAGAAGAGATATGCTCAAAAGGCCTATCCCAGCGATGAGCTAGGTTAGTATGAAGAGAAACTGCCACAGGAGCCAAGTGGAATGGGATATAATCAGGAGCAAAACAATGGAGTGAAACAGCTTAACATTTGCTTCAGGAAGGCCATGACCCTACAGTAGGAACCATCCTCACAGTGAACCCAAGGGGTTTCTAAACTTGGAAAGCAGCTAGCTGCCTCAGTGGCACTTTGGAGGCCATTCTAGGGAGGCTGGATCAATGGGCTATGATTTGTCTCCCAAAAAAGAGCAATGCATAAAGAAGAGAAAAGTCTGTTCTCTGGTTGAAAAAGGCAACTGATACTTTGTAAAGAAGTTTCTCACAGATATCATATATATGGAAGTTTCTAGTGTCCATGTGATAGACAATCCAAGATGGTACATTCTCAAAGTAATGTGATGCTATATGGTAAAAATCAAACCAGAGCCAAGTTCTTGGTAGTTTATTTAACAAGCATTGCTCCTTGTCAGGGGGAAAGTTAACTGTGCCTGAGGGAATGTCTGTGGGTAGCCAGTAAGATTAAAACTGGTTCTAGAAGGAGTTTTAGCAGAAAGCAGCCCTGATCTCATATTTAATAACTGTCTTCTCTTCTAGGCACTCCAGAAAATGGGAATGATCAGTAAGTTGGGCTGCATTGCTATTTATCTTTTGCCCAGAACTTTCAATCCTGTCATTTAAATAGAGAAAATTTTTGAACTTGTGCTTACACTTTATGTATTGTTTTAGTAGCTACCATACATGGGATTTGGCTATTTGTCAGAGCTATTTAAAGATAACTGAAAGAGAAGGTTGCCGGTAGGTATGGACAAGGTACAAGACAGAAAACAAATCAAAATAAAAAAGATGAGGAAAGGATTCAGTGAAGGGCTGAAGGATGAATATAACAAAGCCAAATATGTAAACCACATCTGGCATTTTAAGATAATGTTCCTGATGAAATGTTCAGCATGTTCACCACAGCTAAGGAAAACAGGGCCTGTTCTTCAAGCTGCCTCTAGGTAGCTTTGCCTGGGTGCAAAGTGGCTCAACTTTGACTGTCAGAGCAAGCAAAACAGCTGATAGCAGCACACACAGCGATTGCAAGCAAGGGGCTGGTGAGCCAGGAGACATTGTGTTTGTTCATGCTGAAAACAAGAAAGCCACTGAATTTTCTGTGTTAACCTGAAGGCATCCCCTTCATTTATAGTAGAGGTGGTGGTTTTTTTTTTTTTTTCAACTAAACTGTAGCTGTTATAGAAATGACTCTTGATTGCCTATCCATCTTACTTACAAATGGAGGCTCTCAGGATATCTAAGGAAAGAAGCTAGGTTTTGGAACTGGAATCTGGAAAACAGTATGGGAAACTCTTGAAAACAGTTGATTCATACACTACAATCTTGAGATCTAATAAAATGAGTGTCCCTGGACCTCACTTTTTGATCAGAAAGTTCACAAATGTTTCTGTGTCTTCTACCTCATAACTCACAACTGGAGATACAGGCAATTTAGACCTGGTGACATTTATCTCCCTGATCCAGGTGATGTTTAACTAAACAGATGATCACCACTGTGACAGTGATGGGACCTGCCATCTTTCTTCAAAAACTACTGGAAAAGGCTACACAGCATATCTGTGCTTGTAGTGAAGGAACATAGAGTTTGCCATATAATCTTACAAAAAAACAAAAACAAAAACAAACAAAAAAATAACTTTGCCTGTGCCTTTTCTTCACTCTGGGCCAGATCTGTTTCCTTGTGAAGACACACTGTCCATGACTGCGGTGCTAACTTAAGTGTTTCTGTGTCAAACAGGCCTCAGTCCGACAAAGAGAGTGTGAAGCTGCTCACCGTGAAAACAATCTCTCACGAGTCTGGTAAGTTCCCATTTGGTTAGAAGACATGTGACTAGATGGCAATCCTGCAACAACACAGGCTTTTAGTCACGTGAAATACAAGCTGAAGCAGAACTTCTTGAGAAAGAGTTCAGCTGTCGCTCTTAATAAAGGCAAAGTCCTGCTATGAAGAGGAGATGATCCTTACATTTTCATAAACTAGAATTTAGGGTCTTGCATTATTGGGGCTGCTTTTGGTAGATGTACAGATGTGTTCTAATGAATGAGTGGGGACTAGACACTTTTACTGTTCTGCAGAAATAGTCAAAAGGCCAGAAAGTTTAACAGGGTTTCAAAAGTTCTGTTTCATTTTGGGTAAGGGGTGTGTGTGTGTGTGTGTGTGTGTGTGTGTGTGTGTGTGTGTGTGTGTGTTTGTGTGTGTTTGTCTGTGTAGTCACTTGGAGTCATGATTTGTCAATTAAAATGTAAATAATGGACTACATTATTTCACACAATCTCAACTAACCTTCCCAAGAAACATCACATAAATTTTCCTATCAATATAATCTACCCTTGTGTTTTTGATTACCTATCCATATTTTATTCAATTTGAAATGTAAAATTCTTGCAAAATGCAGATGTGATTTGTCTTAGATGTGTTTGTGTCAAGATCAATAACAAATAAGATGTAGGCTTGTTTTGAAAAATTAATGGTTATTTTCCCTTGGTTCAAATAGACGGTTATCTAAAGCACTGATGTCACCAAACAGAAATTAAAAACAACTTTTAATTTTCACAAAGTAATCCATATAGTTCTAATTTAAATATCAAGTCACGTGGTTCCAGGGTGCATGTATAAAGAGCTATGTGATAAACACTTTTAGTAGTTACAAACAATTTTGTAAAACAACTTAAGTATTGTTCCAAACCAAAAGCAAGATATCAAAACTTTAATGTTTCAGTGCCAGGCAGGGTATTCCAAGAAGAGTAAAGTATCATAGAAAAAGCACTGGACTGGAAGAGCCAGGGCCTCCAACAGAGCACAGACATGCCTTCATCCTCTCTCTTCTCTTCCTCTGCCTTTCCCTCCTTACTGGAGATGGAACCCAGAGCCATGCTAAGCGATTGCTCTCCCTTTGATAATAGTCTCAGTCCACCATTTTTCTTTTAAGAGAAATCTGGTTTTTATTCTTGCTTCTTTAATATTGTTTGGTGCATATGTTACTTCTATGTCCACTCTTTTCTCTCGAGAGAGTAACCCCATCTAATGGGGCAAAAGAACACAGACCATCCATAGAGCCATGTGAATCCATGCCTAGGATTTTCCTGGCTACTCACCAGCAATGACTATGTAGCCAAGCTTGTTTTACTGGATTAAAGAAAGGAGTGGGAAATTGAGTAAGCAACCTAAATATGCGTTAGTTAGCACGTGAGAAAGCCTGAGCATGATAACAGTGCTAATCATGAGAAGTTCTCAAGAGTCTGCCTGTGTCTGGCCAAGAAACATCACAATGATTCTATGTGTTGTCCTGCCCTTTCTTAGGAGTTTAAACAAGTGCACTACAGTCTCCTTGGCTCTGGAGCTGTGCGATGAGGTATTGTGCAGGAACTCTAAGGGACACCTACAAGGATCTGACTATAATAAAGATCTCTACCACCCACTTCTAGGAAAATGATACCTCACACTAGGATCATAGGTTTCTCAAGAGATCTCCCCATCCCCCAAAAACTGAAACCTTCTTAAGTTCTGTTTTGCAAACTGAACCTCACATTTGGCTCTCTTGGGGTGGTGCTTGCAACAATAAGTGAAACTGACTCATATGGATAGATGATCTTCAACCTTACATGTTTCCTTTTCCTTCCTACAGGAGTTATTAGGACCCAGGTTTGAAGCAGAAATATTATCTTGGGAATATTAAGAAGTAGTTTCTGGTACTTACATTCCTTCCCAGTGAGATTTGAGAACCACACTGCTTTCAAAATTACCCCAAAGGCCAATCCAGCATATTACCATTGGAAAATGCCTGAATGAGATAGAAATTGATGATTTAGAATTGATTTTAATAGCCTAGAATTAAGAAGCTTAGTATAATGATCTTCAAATGGTCCTTATACTACAGAATTTTTGATTAAAGTCTATTGTTAACGGAACTTGGTGGCTTCAATGTTCCAATCAAATGTCTTCTCATTGCCCTTCAAACTTATTCAAATATATCTTCTTTAGAAAATCTTTCTCATCACATTGGTAAGAAGTTTAATTTTTAAAATTATTTTACATTTGTCTCAGGACCAATGCTAAAATCTTTCCTAAAATATAACTAGAATAGAGCCTGAAATGATAGAGTTTAATATAATTTCACAAGTTTAGCTCAGTTTTTCTACCATCACCCATATAATCATCTCAAAATACTTAAATGAAAAAATCATCTGATAAAGGAGACATCAGGACACTCACAGACTATAATTGAAGACTGCTATAACTTACATTATTTATCTCAAGGTCTAAGTCATACAGTGTTAATTAATATCATAGTGGGAGTATAATGAAATTGGGGTTTCAACAGCCATATGTGGTTTGGGGTATAGTCATTGCCTCACTATAGAATCTCAGGACCTCTATCTCAAAATGAATGATGTCATGATAGAAAACAATAAACAAATGTTTCCAAGAAAGGAAAAGAAAAGAAAAAAAAAAAAAACCTTTAAAGCCTCATACTTTCAGGGAAAATTCCAGTGCATTCTAAATTATTTTTTGTTGTTTTGCTTTTTGGTATTTTTGTTATTGTGTTGTTTACAGATGCTTCAGGGGTTCTTATTAAATTTCTTATGATTTTCCCAGTGTTAACAGTTTCTTATCCCCAAGTCCTCTTCCTCTGGTTGGGTCACCATGCTCATCTACCGCACTCGCTGGTTCCTTTACATATGTTCTTTCTCAAGCAGTCTGCTACTGAAAGCATAGTTCATATATGTTTAAAGGTGGAGTTCATCTTCATATAAAAGAAAAAGTGTGCTATGACTGTGTAAGAAACTTGTGCTTTCAGAAGAATGACATTTTTGTAGGAAGTGTAGCCAAATTAAACACCCCTGTGTCTAAGTGCAGACTATATGGCCAACATGATAGGTTAAGTGGGGTTCTCAGACTACAACTCAGAGATTATACATTTCACCTCACTTTTAGCATACAAAGCTAGAAGAAATTTGAAGAAAGTATTTGACCACATATATATAATATAAAATAGAAAAAAACCAAAATAAATTTAAAATCACATATTAAGTACAAACTTGACCCAACCACTATTGGCATTTGGCATCTTCTTGTCTTCCAAGTGCTCCTTATCCCTATATATGTGGATGTGTTCTTTGTTTTTGTCACAGTGTGTTAGTTGTTTTCTGTTCCTGTGATAAAATATCATGACCAAAAACAATTTAAAGAAGAAGGGGTTTATCTTATGGTTCCAGCGAGAGAGAGAGAGAGAGGGAGAGTGCATGCGAGTCAGCCCTGTGGTGGGAAAGGCGGCAGGAGCAGGGGCTAGAAGCTGACCATGTTTTCATGCACAGATAGAAAACAAAGACAGAGAACAGGAAGTATAGCAAGGCTATACCCTCGAAGCCCACCCCAAGGGCCATACTCCCCCAGCAAGGTTCCTACCTCGACCTCCCTAAACTCCTGAAGCAGTGCCATCAAGTGGAGACTAAGTTTTCAAATGCATGAGCCTGTGGGGGACATTTCTCAATTCAAATCATTACACACAGGTATCATTATTATAACTGTTACCCAAATCATGACATTGCTGAGTTTTTCTCACATTGTCTATTTCTGACTGGACAGAACTTAAGGTCAAAATATTAAGATTGTAATGAATTCTCATACAATGTCCTTTATGTGATTTCTGCATTTTGTTTATTTCTTATTCTTCTACTTCAAAGTCAGGGGCTCCAGGTAAGTGACGTGCCTTTGGCAAACTAGGCAGGTGCAAGCAGAAGGTAGGTCATAGCGTGGTTGGGGTTGCAAGGGATGTCACACTGTGCTCAGTGACTCCTCCAGCACAGACCTAAGAATCACAATTAAAAAGCGTTCTGAGTCTGTCAGCTCTCTGATACTATTTATTACCACCACACCTGTGAAAGTGACTGGTGACATACACATTGTCACCAGAAGACAGATGTGTTAACCACTGGCAGACAAAAGCTGGATAAAATGAGGACATGTATCCGAACAGATGGAGAATCTTATCCATATTGCTGATAAAGATAGTGATAGGTGCTGATACTTGATACTCCCTGAAAGATGCTGGTGCTATGAAACATGCTAGTCACGGATTCAGTACCATGGAAAAACTGCTTGGGGACTCTCCTCTTCCCATCATCCAGGTTCATCCTTTTACCTTTAAACTCAATAGCAGAATATGACTGAAATTTTGAGCGATGTTGCCTATATGCTTCCCTGAATGTCACTAAAGCATTCCCGTGGGCTTATAAATTATTTCCCCAAAGTTCCCACTGAATTATTTAAACAGAAGAACCCCAGAATACCTTCTTGATAAAATGTCACTTTAAATATATAGTGTGGGTTTGCCTAGGAAAAGCCACCTCACATAACAGGAGCGTCTATAATGAACCACCTGGCATCTCCCCTGTGATGTCTCCTAACCCACACTCTCACCTCCAGGGAGTTAGTGAGCAAGGATCCTTTAGGGTGAAAATACATGATGGCCAAAGAAAGCTCATAAATCTCAGTAAATAATTTCCAGGCAATACCAAGAGGCGAACTGTGGCTTTAATGGCAATCTTGCAGAAAAATTGAACTTTTCTTGAAAAAAAAAATGAAAAACCAGGAAACTTTATTTTCATCTTTCATCCTCTCTGAGCACATAGATCAAACCTACCCTCTGTTCTCAGGCGAGCACTCTGCACAGGGGAAAACCAAGAACTGACAGCATGATGGATCCTCCCTACACCTGGGCAATAAATATGTAAGTTTCCTAATTCCATTCACAGATATACTCATTAATATCTGCTTCCTTAGCCTGCTATCCCTCAAATTATTTTATAGACTTTTAAATCCTGAACATTTAATGGTTGGTGTCAATGAAAACATCATTGGCTATTTGTCTAAAAGCAAACTATAAGAAAAGGGACCAGAAAAATGACTGCTGTCTTGATTATTATAGAACATTCTTCCAGTGGCCCTCCCCACCTGCCCAAGGAATGACACCATTCACTCTTCCTGCCTACGGGTGATGCTTCCTTGTGAGTACAGCCCTCCTGCACCCGGGTTAGGCAAGGTTCCATAGTGTAACGACAACCCTAAGGGCACAGGGACGATGCTGACAGACCTGTAGCTTATTGCAGGGAGGGATACCACACAGAAGCTGCGCAGGGCTAAAGATGTGGCTTTATAGGCTGGCTCAGAACTGGTGGTCCAGCTCCATAGAAGACACAATTATCTTTCTACCATAGGGACCACATCCCGAGGCACTTTCTCTCTAGATCTAGGAACCACAGATACGTGCACAAAACTGTTCAAGCAGAGTGACCAAAAATGCAGTCTCAGTTAAGGTTTCTTAATTCCCTACTAAATATGATGACTTGATTTTGCTATATGACCAGCTGAGGAACACAGCTTTTATGTGATCAAGGAGACCAGACAGAAGTGATAAATCTCACACGGCAATAATTGTTAATCCAAAAACAATAGAGGTTCTCAAAAGCATGAACTACATTTTGATCAGCATGTTCCTGGTCTGGACCAGAAGCCAGTATAATGCAGGGACCTTTCTTATTTTCTGTCAAGGCTGCTTTGGAATTACTCCACATGAGGTTGCCTTTGGTTTTCCTAGAAGCAGGTTAGGAGACTTTCTGGTGTTGATTTGGTTCTTATAAGAATCATCAATTAAATGCTGTTGTAATTAATGTTTGGTATTTTATAGAATATATAGAAAATTTATCCTTCAGAATAAACACTAAAAAGCAAATGAACCAATAAACACTTACATGTTTGATACTGGCCTGGCCAAGCTGGTCATCACTCTGAGTAATGTGTCTGAGGTGAGTAGTATCACTGTTCAGTGCACACCTTGTGTCTACTGTCCAGCTATTAATATGTCAGTCTAACAGACACTCACTTGTTTGGTGAGTACATGGTGATGTCCAAGCTTTCTTCACCAGGAACAGAGGATAGCAGCAGAGATGCCCATCCAGATGCAGACACCAGCATTACAAACTCATCTGCCGCTAACCTGCTGTTAGGAGTGTGCTGCCGTAACAGGAAGCTAGGGCTTTATCCTTCTTTTTGGAATGGTCACTTCCAGAGCCCAGTTGGAGAAGCTGAGCGTGGTGACATGTGAATTAGCCTTAATTAATATAAAGGAAGTTTCCTTGTGAGACAGCTGTATTTCCTCTCAACTCAGTACTTAGTAAAGGGATGTTTTCATATTTACAAAGGACTCAAAATGCAGAAGCCAATTTTCCAACTTGGATGAAGACAAGAAAGAGAAGAATAAATTGTCTGGTCCAAGTAAGTTTAATAAAAGAAAGTATTGTCTACAGTGGGGCTGCATTGCACTCAGTAAAGTGCTTGCTCACTAGGCACAAGGTCCCAGGCCCCATCTCCATCACCATAGAAACCGAGACAGGGTATCACAGCCCTGGGGAGTTCAGACAGGGAGATCTGAAGTTCAAAGTCATGCTCAGACACATAACACACAGGAAGTTTGAGGCCAGACTGTTCTGCATTAGGCACTGCCTCAAATCCAGAGAGAGAGAGAAGTTAGATGGTAGAAAGGTGGATGGATGGATGGATGGATGGATGAATGGATGGATGGATAGATGGATGGATGGATGAATGGATGGACAGACATACAGAAGGACGGACGGACAGGCAGGCAGGCATGTTGACAGACAGGGAGATAGACAGACAGATAGAGGTCTGTCAGCATTGTCTCTGTGTCCTTAGGGTTATCGTTACACTATGGAACCTTGCCTAACCCGGGTGCAGGAGGACTGTACTCACAAGGAAGTATCA